ATGAAACCCGATCCAGTGGGCAGTCCATGAATTCCAACTTCCGCCAACTCACGACATAGCATGACCGCTAGCCAACATTGGTGAGTATTTGGCCTCACACCTGACCTGCAGTATCCTACTGGTCGAGAAATCCCAGGTAAGTACTTTTCTGAATAGAACCAGTCGCTAGTAAGCATCTCATTGATATTCAGGTATCAGTTTGTAGGGATTTGATTGAGTGATTACACGATTTCATTGTGAGTAAATTGGCAAGAGTTCGAATTCCTGGGCTGGCCATTGGATCGGATTTCAGTGGCTTAATGGTCTACGACCTCGCTAGCCTTGTATAACCGAAGGCTCTGGTGGTGGATGAGTAGTGTGAACAGACTCAAACTAGGATAAAAACGGCTGGATATCCAGCACTCCCAGGTTTTCCAATGGTTCTCTAACCAATATCATCTCATAATGAAATCCTGTAACCAGTCAGCGGAATCCCTACAAAACAGTGCTAGACAACCATTAGGTTGTTTTTAGTTTTCTTTGAACACTACTTCTTTTTGTAATCCATAGTAGGTTTGTTCAACTCTAGACTGGTTAATATGACTAGAAAGTGATCTTTTATATCAACTTCTCCAATATGCATTTAAACCACACCGTGAGAATTAGGTTATTTTCACCGATAAATTCATTGGCAGCTTTTAGAATTACGCCACATAACATGCCTATTACCGTCATACCAACAGAAAGAAATGCCTTGAACTCAAAAATAAATCAGATAATTATATGCATATGTTATATGCAGCTGTTAGTTTATGGAACCAATTTTTTGTGCTTGAGAACACTTACAAGTAGGGCTAAGTGTTTGCATATTGGCAAACCTAATCTAAACTGACCATGAGGCCAGTATTTTAGAATCCATTCATGTTGTCTACAGTCTATCAAACTATATACCAGGAGCTACCAATTACTGAATACTCTGGTCAGTAGAAAGATGCAAGTCGCTTGCAAAAGCCGGAAATTTATCTACTAAAATACGACTTAAGCTATTATTACTCATATTCTGTTCCCTATTATTTACATCACGCACATAGTTGACTTGATAAATATCGATAAAGAAAGAAACAGACTAAAATTTCAGCATAAAACGATGCCATTCTATTTAACAGATACATAGAGTGCCTGAAATTACAATGGTTTAAAAAGAACGAACGCATACTTCAGTGCTTTAGTGGGAGTAAGGAAAATTTTATGAAATATAACACATCTGAAATGTAAGCATTATAATTTGTAGTTTAAGTCATCATCAACTAATAAGCCTACCGAAGTAGGAAACTAGGGGGAGGAGGAGAATAGGACGAAAAATAAACTCCAGTAGACAGTGTTAGCTTATAAGATTAGATAACAATTCAAGGAGGTTATAGTTCATTAGACAGAAACACTCAGTTATCGAAAAGAAGAAAATTTTTATTTGACTTCGATTCAAAGGAGAAGCGATATCACAAACAATTGATAAAAGAATGAAGGAGCAATAAAAAAATGCTTCCCCGCAACTGAAGTAATAGCAATTTACAGCACTATATGCTCAATAATAGAATCTGAACTGGATAAGTACCCTAGTGGTGTCAGCTCCAACTGCGTCTCAAGATTTATATGCACTTTCAGGAGAAAGCACACTGAAAGCACGGAAGAAGAAGCGTGTGCCTAGAATGAAGCTACTGTTGGGCCACTGACACAAAATCTACGCAGAGTAGTGGAAAATAGAGTATTCGCATTGATAGGCGATTCAACTAGGTTCATAGAACTTGAATATACTAAATGAATCATGGTTAGACTAGGACCAAGCTACGGAAAAGATGATGAAATTTTACAGTCACCTGATTACACGATGAATCAGATTATGAATAACAAAATGACTACTAGTTCCGACAGCTTCCTATCACCATTTAAGTATGTCACATATAACTATCTCCACAGGAACAGTTGAAGTCATAGGTGTACATTGATAAGGTCATCTTTGATACCTTATAACTGATCCGCTGTGTGACTACTGGTCTATTTGAGAAAGTGAATACCACCCTCCGGGGTTGCGTACTCATCAGCGTACTGCTGAAGAGTCCCAAATTATTATGAAGCTTTTATCCAGTACTCCAAGTTTTTCTAGTGGTTCTCTAACCGACGTCATTTCATGATGAAATTCCGTAACCAATCAAACTAAATACCTACAAAAGAAATCAATACTTGGGAAATGAATACCAGTTTAGCTGTAGAGAATGTTCTGGGTGAATATTACTGACAGAACTCAAAAGTACTTGTTGACTGCACGTACATCCTTTCTTGATGTCCTCCTGATCTAACCTGGACATATTAAGTAAAATAATAATCAACAAGTTAAGACAATCGATCCAAAGAAATGCTGAAGTAAGATGTTTCGTTTGAGTGTTACATTTATTGAGAATGTCATGCACGTATGTTTAGAACTTTATGCTATTTACAACCCAGTCTGTGTCTCTTGAAAGTTTGTAGGCGATGATTCAGTGTTATTTAGAGGGATCCTTTTTTTATCATTAACACTAATTATAAATGTATAACTTGATGAAGAAGTTATCTAAAAGAATATTCTCACTTTATTAGTCAGTCTTTTGGAATTTTTTAAGGTCATCTTCAGTCAATTGTTCTGTTTGAGTTTGTACAATGTTATCGCTTATTTTTCACTGAATACAGTATCTTAATCATCGGTAAATTATAAGTGAACTTATTCAATTACTTAATCAGAAATAATTTTCAATAAAAAGAGAACTGAATCAATCAGTGGTTTTAGTTAAGAAAAGACGCAAGTACTGCATATTATGTATGACAAAAGTTACAGAGCAAATTTCTGGTGTTACTGTGATTTTGTTTTAAGTCAGATAATGAAGGAAATCATTCTTTTCAAATAACGGAGAAGATTTATAGCTCACGGAGACAAACTAACAAAGAGGCCATCGTTCAACATGAATGTAGGAGAAAATGGAGTTGGAGTGGTTATACTCTGAAAGGACTATGGAATGACATCTTGCACCAGGCTGTCGAGTAGAATCCGGATAGAGAATAACGACTAGGTAATCCTAGAATGGTGTAAAGGAGATCTTGCAAGGAGGAGATGAATGATGTGGCCTCATAGAAAACAACCAAATCAAGATCATTATTTATTTTGCTTTCTTGAATAATAGTGAAAGATAACGGGAGCCTTACATCACTTATTAAACAGCAGTGAATCGCATTGTGCTTTGCAAATGGAGAATATATGTAAATATGTTCTGCAACACTGCTTATATATATATATATATATATATATATATATATATATATATATATATGTACATCATGCCACTTACTGTTTTAAAGTAACTAATGTTGTCTGAAACGCTGAACTGGTAACCAGAAAAACAAAGTTAAGATGCTGAGGTTTGCACTCGTTCGCTTATAACAGTGTGTTTTCGTTATCAACAGTGTATTAAGACTATTACTTTCCTTTGTGTTGTTAAAAGTGCAGTTACCTGTGTAGGAAATTCCACAGCTAGATGAAAACCCTACGAATTCAATCGAAAAAAAGAAACCATTCATGTTCAGTAGTCATGAAACATTCATTTTTAAAACTTTTAGCCACTTTTCAAACTTTAATTTGAAAACAAGTCACTTAGCCTGCCAAGCATATTCCGAGCCTGATTGGTTTCATTCAGCCAGCAGTTGGGTAGAGGATAATAATTACTCTCAACTGATTAAAGAATACAGAAATCAGTCTACATTTAACAGATATGCAGTTAAATTGTGTGACCTCTAGATTACGAGAACAACGATTACGGCTAGGATTCAATAATCCATGAATACTGACTTTGTCTGTTCGTCGTACAACGCTACAGGAAATCTAGGCGTTTGATGGTTATCTGCTTCAACTCAACATGATAGCAAATACTCACCATGACTTCTGAGTACAGCTTTGAGACCACCGTCCAGTAGTCACGAATGATCTAGAGATTGATATTAGGATTATTGGGTTTTGCTGGGATGTGGATTAATTTCAATGTGGATTTCTTCAATTAGAGAGTCATTGGAAACTATGAAGCACTAGACAACTGTTTCTGCTTAGTTTAAGCCTGTTCAGCAGTGCCTACCCTTAATATCACTAGTGGCTTAACCCAAAATCTTCGTTTTATGCGATCAAAATCGCTGTCCATTCAGCCACATGAGTCAAACTTCAATGAGTTTTGAATTCTGGTGTGTTTGGTCATTATATGGCATCATCTAGTGGGGTCATATGTGCGCATCGATGAAATGGCGCAAACTAGGACGAAACGGCTGTAAAGTGGTTCCTGGTTTTTACTAATCTCTAAATAAAGCTTATTTTTAATGAAGTCTACTCTGAAAGATTCATTTGTATCTAAAAATATTTAAAGATATGCAAGAAGCAGAGTTCATACTTTTTACGATGGCACGAAATGAAATTTCAAGATGCACACATAGTACATAGTGTGCGTCGGTGGCACAGTGGTTAGGACTGTCGCCGACCATGCACATGGTCCGAGGTTCGAGCCCACGCCGGCGCACACCTGATATCTATAGTCGACCTGCAAAATTTGGGCTACCGATATCCATGCTGAAAATTCCATACTTGTACCAAAAATACAGTGTAGAATCAAGCTGTAAATCAAAAATTAAAAAATTAAAAAAAAATTAAAATTACTCTTGATTAAAGCTAATCTCACAACTGATAAACTTTCTGACGTTCAAAGGCACCTAGCACAAAACGTAAAAAAAGTGTTTTACTAAATAGTGTTTGTGCATTTATATCATGGATGACGCCATATATGCATATCCATCAGGAAACTTGTTTAGAAATTAACTTTTAATTTTGATAAGTGTATTGATACTTATGCATACGTAATCGTTAAAAATGCATGTGCTTAGTAATTTTAATTGGCTCCACTTAGCTTGTTACTCCGTTTACTGTATCCCTTTCAATTCATTGTGTATTTGCTATCACAGATAAGAAATAATTTGAAGAAACCTACTCATAAATATATAAGCAGATGCTTTCTGCTTTAGTCAAGAAAAATGCTCGTAATGAAGTCGGTATTTCTACTAGCCACCTTTCTTCTTTTCACTGGGTTCAGAGGTGTATCACCTGTCAGTTTGACTCAAGAACAATCACGTCTACTTGAATATCATAACCACGATAGAGGACTTGTGAGCAATTGTAAAGTCCATGGGCAGCCAGCAAGTAAAGTGCCGCTTAAGGACCTTGTAAGTAAATAAATTCTCGTTTCTTTTAATAGAAATTTGCCACAAAATCAGATTTTATTTTACACATTCAAGCTGACCTTTCATCTATTGTATACTAGTCAGTTTAGCCTTTTATTATGTTATCTGAAACTTTTATTAATTATATGAATAAGGGAAGAACGGCATATGTACCAGGCAGGATAATCTAAGCTCATTTTATTTTAAAAATTTCGTGGATTCTTCTAAACTGGTTACACGCTGAACAATGCCAAAATTATAAATTAAATTCAAGATCTGAATATACTTTTTTCAATGATAATGAGTAATTGGTTGGAACTAAGAGTAAAACTGATCAGGAATTATTTTTAGTTGTTAAATAATTAGAAGTGAAAAGGATCAGCTATTTATAGAAAAACTGAATGACCAAGCTTGGAAAAAAGAACGGAGTTCAGAAGATGTTTTGTGGGTGGTGAAAAGGTTTAACTAGAAAGAGGATAAAAAGTAATAGGTCACGCAACCACAGAAAAACATGCTTTTATAAAATACATAAAAAGGTGGGTGAGATGAGCCATGTTAAGACGAAAAAATCAGTTTTTAAACAGGATAGGGGAAAACGTGGGGAAATTTGTATGCTTTGTTATCACCGAGGCAGTGCAAGATTCACCAATGTATCTTTCTGCATACATAGATTTGGTTTAAGCCGTTTGACCGCCTCAGCAAAACGAAGCACGGTGGGTATCTTTTGTCAATCGGTTATTTTGAACGAATTCAGGTTCTCCATAACATGACCAATGTCTAGTAGATGGCGTACGATCGAACTGTTTGTGGATTGTGGGCCTTTTAATCTCAGGTTCTTTGGTATGTATTCAACGACGTGGTAATAACTCTTCTCTATGTTTTTCTGATGTATTTACTTTGGTAAGTTCATGTGAATTGGTAGACGCAGTCTGTGGTAACAAGAAGTGGGAGCTTGTTCACTTTTGACTGTCTTAAGCAACAGGTCGTTTGATAGGGACATACAAGCTTGACGGCTGGATATGTTCTTTTCAGGGTAGCATTCAATCAGCATCTTTTTCTACTAGCACCTTTGAAGTCAAGCTGTAGAAAAACAGGCTTTTTCTTTACTCTTCTGTACTTCAACATGTCAAGACTATGCTTTCCATGTTTGTCGATGAACTTATGTAGGTAACCATTATCAAGCAGGCATTTTTTAACAGTAGCTAGTTCTTCCTTGACTTTTTATTCTGAAGAAAGCTTCGTTACGCTATCAAACAGTGTTCTCACCAATCTTTTTTTGCAACTTACAGAGCAGAAGCTTTTGCAGTTCAGAAAAATTGCCGTACAGGTCTCTTTTCTATAGATGTATTCCATGATTTTAGCATCTTTATCACGTTCGATGCCAAGGTCCAGAAAGTGAAACCTGTCATCATCTTTACACTCCATTGCAATCTTTATAATAGCATGAACGCAATTTAGGACGTTTATTATTGGAGATGCATCATTAAAACAATCACAAATGACAAATGTGTCATTGATATACCTGGCATAGAAATCTGTGTAATTGATTGCGACATTCATTCTTCTTAGTTCCTGGTTGCCCATTATAACATCTTCCCGAATCGGGCCCAGAGGTCGTCCCATAAAGAATCCATCAACTTAGTGATACAGAACACTACTCTCACGACTTATGAGGGAGAAGAACGAGAACAGTAAAAGTCATGTTTCGAGATTGTCTACTTACAGTAAATTAAGCTGTGAAGGGGTCTTTTTATTCCTTTGTAACAATGTGTGTGTTCGATGATTAGTCTGGATAACAGATTCTGGGTACAGCTTACATACTCGGTTGCACAGGAGAAAACAGATTAATACACAGTAGCTTGACCTTCAGGTTATTACGAATCTGCGGTTTTTAAAGAGAAAGTAATTCTGCAAATAAAGTTTTATTCAGTTATCAGGATGAATGCTTTTTAAGTTTTTCTATAGATGAGTTTCCACTGAATTGCAGATTCCAATGAAGAATCTTTTCGAAGCATCAGGTATACGTTTTCGGTGGTTTATGCTTCATGGAATCTGTGAGGAAGCTTTAGGTGAGTTACTCATAATGGGAACCGCTTTTTGAGTTTTCAGCTCCTCCTCCATAGGGGAATCAAAGACACAGATTGATACAAAATGGCTTTATTCCAGATAGTTTTCAGCATGAATAAAGGGAAGACCATTGAGGCCCCTCAATAGCATCCGATTAGTGCTTACTGCAAGTTTCAACACACTTAGGTGCAATGTCACCCCACCACAAGAAGTTGCAGCGTACTTAATTACCCTGAACTCGGTACCAAGAGGAAAGTATTGCAGTGTCCAGCTATAGCACATAAACCAGTTATATTACTTTATTAAATTTACTGTGAATAATTATGACTACGGTACTGAACGAAATTTATTTACTTCTATATCGCTTACTTGCTTTGTCTTTTAGATATGGGATAATTATCTTGCTAAATTGGCTAGAGACTTAGCTGTCACTTGCAAATATCGTCACAATAATCGTGAACTACCTACAGACAAATACAGATACATTGGACAAAACATTGCAGGAGTCCCATCCGTTAAAATGTAACTGATTTACCTCTTACTTCCCATGTCTTCTAGGGCAATGAAATTATGGTTTGATGAATACGTGGACTATAACTATAAATCTGGTCAGTGCAAACCTGGAAAGCAATGTGGACACTATAAACAAGTAAGAAGGGATAGCTTACCTAATTTTCTTATCTCTATGAATATCAATCTGATGCTGGCTAGTAACTGGCCCTCATCAGGTACATATTAACCCGAGTTACGGTGTGAGTTCGTGACCAGTGGGGTTCCAGGCTATATAATCGAAAGCGAAGACATTGGCTAGTGGTCGCTAGTGGCAGAACTTGGAATTCATGGACCGTTGGATCGGGTCACGGTGGTTTAGTTCACCTTGTAACTGGTAGATCATGGGTTCGAACCCCGTTGGGTGACTGATGAAAAGTTCCAAACTAGGATTAAACAGTTGTGCAGTACTCACAAGTTTTCCAATGGTTATCTGGTCGATGTCAGCTCATGACGAAATCCTGTAGCTTATTTAACTAATTTTATCGTGACCAGGGCTATGTATGAGCACAATCTGTCAACATACGATCTAATCAAACTGATGGGTGATCAGGTAATGCATAGGCCTTCTAAAGGTTTGGAAAGTATGATGTAATGTATCTGCATAATAAGTAAAGATGTACTGAGTCATAACTACATGATTTAGACATTTTAAGATATGAAAGTGGAATCAGTTGTTTACTTTATAAATATACATGAAGCCATCAGATCAAACATTAACTGAAGAGTATGGATTCCTGAAGTTCCGATGAAAACGTTTTTGTTAGGTTGTTCTTGATTTTGTTGATTATTTTGTTGCGATGGAATGACCAATGTAGACAAAGTGTCCGATTATCTTAGCCCTTATAGAATCAATAGTACGTTTCTGATACCTTGTGGGATAGTTTTCTTGAACCCCTTTTAGACAGGATAAACGTCGGACCACCGATAGGTCTTACTCCGCAAAACAGGCGAACTGGTATATGCAAACAGAAGTGGTCAAATGCAAGATCTTGTCCTTTAGGCTTCCGTAGACCAGCGGACGACCGGTGAACACTACACTTGGCGCTGTTGAGAAGAGTTTAAGTAACGGGCATGAATTATAATAGTTATGAAAATATAAATAATTATAATCATAGTTAACCATCAAGCAATAACAACATAGCTTTCGTAACACCTGCACCACTCGTTCTCTCTATTTTATCAAGTCTGTTGTGTAACGTATTATTTACTTTGTCATCTTAATAATTTAACACCTCTTTTCATCATATATATACTGTATGGAAGATTGCCATCATATTGGTTCACAACTAAACACTCGTAATTATTGAAGAACATTTACTTTGATTTAATGCAGATTTCGTCGAAAACCAGCTTCATACAGAGACTGCTGAAAGCCTGGTGGCACCAAATATCTGTTTCATCCTAGTTTGTGATTATACAGTATTGCATGCTGACGATTCCAACAGACATCAAACCCAAGGAATTCTTTGAGGTTACGAAACCAGGCTCGTTCATCAGTCAGGCAATTGGGCCAGAACTCAATGATCTGTGAATTCTAACTTTGTCTATTCGTTATATAGCCCTCCCGTCAACAACTGCTTCAGATTAACAGACATCTCGCTTTGACATGATGGATCCTACTGGTCACGAATTCTCAGGCTTGCTCCAGGATATTCATGTGCCGATCGAATTGCAGCTCTTCGCTTCGTCATTACAGAACAAAGTATGGAATGGCAGTCAAACCTCATTCCAACTCAACTTCATCGACTTCCAAAAGGCCTACGAAAGACATCATTGACCGAGAAGTAATTTAAAAACTATTTCAACACTGTGAAGCATAGTGCCTGAATCTTTATCAACCTCATTCAACAGCTGGCTATATGACAATGCCTCCCATGTGTCAGGTGATCCTTAACGGGAAAACTCAGTGAAGTCTTTCAAGTAAATACAGCAGGAAGACAAGGCAGCCTGATGACTTCTTATTTGCGGATGAATGCATTATGCACCATAGTGTATACAGGGAGTAGGAAAACTGGAACACATTAGACTGATAAGAAAACTCTAGAGGATCTGGATTTCGCGCTTCGATGATTTGTATTTAATATCACAAAAACTCGAAGAACTACAGGTGAAATGCAACTAACTAGAAAAAGGAGCAGGCACATGGGGAAGATAGGACTTCAGGTGAACACTGAAGAGTCGGAGGTGATGAGAATAACCAAGGAACAGCAGCAATGGCAACAAAAACCGGCACCAGTCACCATCAATGGGAGAGATTTGACAGAGGCTATTGCCTCACTTCACTTTTCTAGGACACATCGTTTCAACTACAGGCAGAACGAACGAAGATGTAAAAGCCACCCAGAAACGGAAAGGTGAGGTACGCCTTCATCAAGCTGGAACCGGTTTGTAAATCTTATGCTCCACCCAGCCAGCATCAGGGACAAGATTCGTATTTTCAAGACAAATGTCAAGTCAATCAGTCAATCACCTCTTCTACACGGGTCTGAAACTTGCACTGATTGTCACGGAAAGCATTTCGAGCAGTCTACAGCAGACTTCCATCAACAGCTGACTTTATTGGGTCCATCCTGAAGGTCGAACGGCTGACGAGGAGGAATGAGAAACAACAAGCTATAGTGATGAACAAACCAACCAGGAGCCGATCATTCAGCAAATATGTAGGGGAAAATGCAGATTGATTGGGCATATTTTGAAGAGGCCGTCGAATGACATTGCGTTCGAAGCAGGCAATCCCTGGAGTGGAATTCCAATATGAAGTGATGAATGGGTCGTCACTGCGACTTTGAAATGCGATTGGGGGGAGGAGATGAGAGCTGATGGGTAACCGTGGACCCATGTGAAGAGGACGGCGAAGAAAAGACAAAATGGAGATGTGTTGTTTCAGGTCTATGTTCTACTCGGAACTCAAGGGGAATAGTAACAAATAGTTATATTAATTGAAAACAAAACGTGTAGTTCATTGAAGTGTCTCTTTTCATCGAATTCGCCAGGAAAATCGTCTTTTCACTGAATGTTGAGTTCTTAATTCTTATTAGTATGTACGAATTATTAACATATGCTAAATTTACACACATTTATGTGAAACCTGACGTCCGTGGAACACTGGCTGAATGCTCAGCAACCAAGCAATCGATACTCAGCCGACACACTCCTTTGCCTTGCTAAGCCAGTCATAAGACTAGTAAAGAAGGAAGGCCGGGTGTGAGACTAGCAACCCCACCCCTTAAAAATAAACACCACTGCTACAGAAACTTCAAGCCTCTAGCTTGAAGCCCTATTAAACACTCGCAGCACAAAAGAATAAAATGAAAATCTAATAATAATGTATGATACCAAAATAATTAAACAAGCGAACTCATATCGTCACAGACAGTATCTTTTTGCATATAGTTATCGCAATTTATCATTATTATTTTTCGTTTCATTTAATAAATTCATTAATGTTACTCAGATTATTAGTTGTCAAAATAAACACACTTTTTAATATCATTTAGATTGTATGGGAAGATACAAAATATGTGGGATGTGCTGCACACGACTGCACAGGTGCACCTTCATTTCCGTATAACTTATATGTGGTGTGCAATTATGCCCCTGGGTAAGTTGAAATATTATTTTGAAGCATTCATTGAATAAAATTTGAAAAAAAACGTTTGAATTCCCTTTAGAACGCCTATCGTAAACATTAATTTTCACTTCTGTTTCAGTGGAAATATTATCGGTAGGCGACCATATGAAGCGAAAGGTGGTCCCTGTCAAGGAGGAGGTAGCGGTCAAATAGACACTAACAACGTAGACGATTTTGACAATAATCTGCCAGTTGACAAGAAGCCAACAGGTTATGATAAATATCCAGATAAAGGCAACGAGGTCACTCATTGGGGTTACAACAAACCAGGCAACACTATACCGAAAAATTTTGATTGGGTCAAAAACTTCTTTCCAGGCTTTAAATATTTCTATTCTAGTTATCACTAATGTGGCTAATAAGTTTTAATGAAATTTTTGTTTTTGTATATTGCTTAAAAGCTTGTGCTAACAATAATTCCACTGAATAAAATAAATAAATAAATAAAATTGAAAACAAGATGAACAATCGGTTATTATGTGTAATAAGTACTGATTGGTTTGTTTGGAAATATGATCGTATACTATTTTGAAAATGGAATTAAAGGAATTTTGAACATATTTAAAAGTCACCTGTCACAGAGTATGTGTACTGATAAAATTTAATGTGTCTGGTTGCTTGATGCACTTCATGTACTCATCGTATTACTGTGCAGTCGCCCTGATAACCCCGGTTATCAGTATAGGTAAAGAGTTTGAGTATCGTGAAGGAATATGATTTCATCATGGGATTATTATACCCAGTAGAAATGCACAGTAATACAATATCACTTAGCGATGACATTTCAAGCCTTATCAGGACACTAAAATTAGTTTCAACCTTTGTTGATAAAATTTCATTATTTTCTATCCACAAAAATTTTATAAGTAGTGATATTATTTAGGTCTTTGGTATCACCCACTTGTCATTCCTAATTCAAACGTTATGTGTGGGTATGATGAAAAAAGACCCAGTTGTCAATCTCTCAACAGCTGCGATGCATACATTGACACATAATCACAAATATAGGATGGGACAGAGATGTAATTCTGTTGGTATTTATGCTACCTTAGATTCTCAATGAAATGTAGCGACTAATCGACACGCCTCATTTTTGTTCTATTTCCTGCTGTCCTCTTTATGTGGATTCAGGATTGCCCATAGTCTCTAATCGCTTCCTTACTATCTCTCCTCCGTGTCAACCTACTCGTTGTTTTCCATTAGTTTTGTGCTTGAGAGCTTGATGTACGATGTCGTTTGACGGTTTCCTTAGCGTGTAACCGATTCATATCCACCTTCTTCTTCATATTTGTTGAGCAATCGGCTCTCGGTTGTATTGTTGCCAGAGTTTCGTGTTGCTTACTGAACTGACTGACTTCACATTGGTGTTGACAGTCCGAATACTGTTCTTTGCACTGAGTGATTAGGTTTCCAGACTGATTTCAGGTGAAGGTGTACATTGTTTTTCTGACTCTGCATTCGCTTTATTCATCAATGTCTCTGGCTGTGGTTGGAACGGTGCTTCCTAGATAAATGAAGGAATATATTTCTTTGAAGTTTCCCCTGTTTATAGTGATTGTTGCTCGTTGTTCATGCCGTTGGCTAGTTATCATCACCATCTGCCTCTTATCTGTATCCACTTGAAGGAAAGCCAGTCTTCTCTGCTTCGTTGGCCAGTTTGTTCGTTTTCTCGTATAGATCTTCACGTTTGTGTGACATAAAACATGAATCATCCACGGAAACCAGATCTTCCAATGTCCTCTTAACGGTAGTACAGAGTATTTCTGTCTTCTCTCTCCCTGTGCACAGTCTGAGGTATACTTCAATCCACCACAATTAATAATATCATCTGTGATAATAGGCACTTAGCCTTGTCTTACTTCTTTAGCTGCAATTCACAAACGCCTTTAAATGTAGGTTGAAAGTTGTCAATCTCCGAATCTACACAAAACATTTGAAATAGACGGTGACAATACGCCTATACGACAGACATGGAAGATATTACGACTAATAAAATCAAAGGATAAGCACTAATCGACTTGTATCAACAAAGCTTGCAATGACTTGACCTAGTTATGAGCAAGGGAATGTACTCGAAAGTAACCAGTAAACTAAGATGTTCAACTGTGTGTTTAGGTGGCAAAAAACTAACAATATTGTGGAACATTGGTCAGTGAAAACAAAGAAGTATTAACATAAATCATGCAGGCTACAATCATCGCAGAAACTCATACATACTTCGTAGAGTAATCATTCCTATTGAAATAATCTTCAGAAAAGTGAATAGATATAGAATGACATAGAAGTTATCTGATCGAGGGAGAATCCTAAAAAATTCAGAAACAACGTATCCATCCCAAGCACATATGTATGAATAATCTACCTCTGTGTTCTGCGGAAGCACTAAAATCTTTAATCGCATGAAATTATTCTCCGTAGAATTAGAAATAGCAGTCAGTCGTAAAACCACACCTAGTTCCTAATGATGAACGGATGGGAGAAACAGCGATCTTACATGGATGACTATGAAACTCAAGGAAAGTCGTAGTAAGCCACAGCAGTACGAAATATAACGTTCCTTACAGAAAAAAAAATACAACACATTCCTTTTTAATGATATATCTCATCTCCAAAAACACACATACACCATACAGAGTGTTGCATTGTCAACCTGATAGACAATCCAAGAAGAAGAATTAGCAAAGTGCAAACATATTCAGGTATACAACAACACCTACTCCCACTCACCTCATATCCACCAAGAAAACATTCAAGATAAAAAGAGTACAAATCACTCATCCGTCACTCACAGATAGACAGACAGACAGAAACAAGTCACGTTATTTATTATATGATTAGCAGGATAATTTCACTAATTATAGGGATGAAACAGCTACTACTACTACTGTGGTGAGAGCAGGCCGTGAGAAAATATGTACAAGGCTGATTTAACAACCAATCACAGGAAAGTTAACGTGGCAAAATATGATTCGCAGATAGAGAACTCTATTTGTCGAGGAATCCCTAAACAACCAATCCGAAGGCTGCGTTTGTCTGCCTAACTTCTGATAAACAACCAATCAGATGACTGCGCTTGTCTACTTGCATAAGCTGTAATAATGTATGTGAAATATATATAAATACGTGTTGATTTTCATAATAAAACGATCTGTTGCCTGGTCCTTGTCTTCTGTTGTTACACTACTACCAATCATATCAAGCGTTGAAAAATAATGGAATTACATTAACGAAGTTAGGAAGTCGTGTGAGTACCTTGATATGATTATGAGCAATAAATTATGCTCCAAACGTCATCATTAAACACTAATGTATAACACTGTGAGACTTTATCAAAACCAATTTTGTCCATAATGGAATAAAACCGCTCTGTACTACGTGTAAAACGCAAAAGTTTAGTTTGTGGAATTTAGCAACAGACCTTTTTAGAAATCACCATTCATGCGAAGTAGAATGTGGTGTGAAAATATCAGAAAAAGTGGCTGAAGAAGTAGAATTATGGAGATCCTACTCGTTATACTCTGGACTGTTTCAACAGTGAATCGAGGAATGATGTGTATTGAGCCACCTGTCGTAAGATAGTTCCATAGGTAATACCGTTGTGGGATCAAATATCACCTAGACTCGTTCAATCATTCAAAAGCTGGGCAGTTCGAAGCAAGCTCGTATAAGATGTTGAATGTTGCAAAAGTGACATGACTATTTGATATAGAATTTATGATTGCATGCATCTATGGAGAAACCTGTTTTGAAATCCCACAAATTCCACAAAGATAATATGGCCCATAAAGTGGAAATGATATCACGCAATTCACTATTCACAAGTGAGATATCTAGAGACATCTTGTATTAGTCGTGTGAGCCTAGAGCCATTCGGGTACCAAGTATTTTATGATGATTCAAATATTTCTCAATCATACATAAATATTCACATGTAGCGAAGTGTACACTGAGACTTAACTGAAACTCAAAGCTCAGCCGGTGGTCATGTGGATCACAAATCTGAAAATCACTGCGAAGAATTCCTTGTCGTTGCATGTATCCAGTGGTCTAAATCTAGTATGAATAACGTGAAGGAAACACAACGGCTACAAGATTCGGATGGAGATGATGCACTACAGCACACAGATAGGCAGACTAGATGCATCAGAGTCACATCGAAACAAGAAACCAACTTTATCGAAAATTCAATGTAGTTTTTATATAATAAATCTCGACTTTGAACACAGATCACATTTTCCCCATAACTCAGATGCTTACTCGTTTTTCACACCATAGATATCACTAAAAGATAAGTGTGAGTCAATGAGTTCGTAAAATAACATCTATGATAATGGAATAGTTAGCCATCCAACAAAGTAAAAGACAATGTGAAATATTTATTCACTTTTCGTGGCACTATGTGACCATCACAGGGCCTTTAATCGACACGTCTTCGTCATCAATATGTGGTGTCTTTGAATTCGTAACCATAAGTTTCACAACACCAACAAGTGTCATGTCAGTGCACATAAATCTGTAGTCATTTGCAAAAAGATGGCAACAATGGCAATGAATTATCCACCTGATGAGGTACATGTGCAGTACTTAACTGCTCAAGCCAATCAGATACTTACATCGAATCCAGACATCGATGAAGTCAAAATAATCATCTCCATGAATAACCAAAAGAAGCGAACAAATCATTCTCATCCAGAAGTAACAGATATAGAACCCGGATTTATGAAGAGTAGAAACAACGAGTTGGCTGTAATAAATGCTGTGAGGGATTGAAATGCTAAATAATTTGGACGGGAGTCCACTATGTGAATAATTACATAGCCTAATGACAAATAACCGCCCATCTGTCAACGACACTCAGATAAGTGGATATACTTATAAACGTTTTGTAATTCTCAATCAACCACAATAATGGTAAACCCATTTCACTTGTCTGTATGTCTGCTTACGCTCTGTATTTGGTAAGGTAAGGCTGAGCCTGGTGATTTCACAGTTCTTCTTTGCGTGACCACTTTATTTTGCCATGCATCATCAGATACTCGTCATCAACTTTCAGTGACTGACGATGAACAGGTGTGAGTTCATTTTGTGATTTTGGACAGTTTTCAAGATTTCTCCCCATATGTCTTCTATCCTATTCAGTTTCCACTGTAATGAAAGGATAGAGGAGGCAGAAGTGAAACAGAAACAGTGTGACATTAAAAAATCACTCAGTTTACCACTATAGTAAGAGAAAATTCTTATGCTGCACCATAGTTGCAAACAATCATCAACGCGTTGTATTTCGGACGTTTGAATACTTAAAAGTGAACATATATTGTTTTAGCCGAACGCATCTAAATTGCATAATGAATATAGTTAACATTCGTAGGTCAACAGGGAAGCGCATAACCTAGACGAAACTATGATGTGTTAAAAACATAGTAATCAAAGCTGAGAAAAGTGCAGAATATTACTTGAACTGAAATACCTGTATCTCGTCTACTTCAGGTAAATAAAATTATGCCTACTTG